TATCAACCCTCTGCTCTCTTCCATCCAGCCACTCTTCTATCCAATTAGCTAACTTATCCCTACACCTAAAAAGATAATTTTTTACAAGCCTTTTATGTGGCACCTTGTCAAAGGCTTTCTGAAAATTCAGATACACAAAATCTATGCCCTTATTCTCATCTACATAAATAGTAACCTTTTCAAAGAATGTCAAAAGATTTGTAAGGCAAAATTTTCCCTTAGTGAAACCATGTTGACTATTCAATATAATTCTAAACTTTGTTAAACAACTTTGCAAAGCATCATTTATCACACTTTCCAACACTTTTCTCACAACTGATGTAAGATTAATGGGTCTATATTTACTGGGACAATTTTTATCACCTCCTTTAAAAAGAGGTGTAATATTGGCCAACTTCCAATCCTCTGGCATCTGCTCACTATTCAAGAGCTTAAAAACAATAGTGGCAATTGGTTCACATATCCAATCATTAACCTCCTTCAAAGCCTTGGGGAAATATTATCTGGCCCAAGAGCCTTATCATTTTTAAACTTCTTGATTTTTTCATAACATGCTCAAAATTAATATAATGATTTTGTTTCCATCTATCAACTATCAAAATAAGGAATACTTCTTAAATCTTCATTAGTAAAAACTGAATAAAAAGCAGAATTTAATAACCCAGCCATTTCATAATAATCAGATACAAGCCTTTCTTTAACATCCCTCACAGGTTCTACCTCCATCCTAACATTTTGTTTACCCTTAATGTATTTAAAGAAATTCTTACTGTTAATTTCTAAATTTTCAGCCAAGTTTTTGATGTCTAAATTTCTTGTTTGACCAACTTTCTTGATTTTTTTATGCTTTTCTTTAATTTTATCTCTTATATACTTTGTGAGCCAACCTGGTTTTTTACTTGCAGCCACTTTTTTCTTTATATAACATGCTTATTTTGAATATTTAAAAATTTATTCTTAAAGATTTTCTACGTTTGATCAGTGTCTCCAAATATTGTCAATTCACAACAGATAATTCTTGTCTCATCCCTTGAAGATTTGCTTTCTTGAAATTTGCAACTAAAATATCATTATTTCTGATTTCCATATGCAGTTAAACATCAAATCTAATAGAGCAATGACCACTTGAACCCATATGTTCCCTAATTTCTATATTAGTAGTTAACAATGTTTCCTTAATCCCCTTGGAAATTTGACCTTCTTCATTTAAAAATATACTCAATCTCCCCTTCTTAATTGTAGTTGTAAAGCCATGTCACCTAAAAATCTTGTTTTACAGGTTTTTTGACCAAAACTCAAGGCTGATAGCAAGTTGTTTTTTCTATCTTTTGGTAAAGCAAATATATTTATACAATGAATCAATTAAAATATGATGAATTTTATACTAAGATGACTTCAAACTATTTGTATTTAAATATAACTATGGAAAGTAGCCATTACAGGCATGCTGACGTAGCAAATTGTTAGTTATAATTAACAAAAACGTAATGACTAAGTATTGAATATCAAAATAATAGGCGGTGAAATTTGTAGAACAAGATATTTTTAGGAAATTTAATTAAATTGTGAATCTCACCACAGTATAAGAAAGCCGTAAATTTACTTATTTGTTAGCAGTGTAGATACTAAACCGCTCTCATACTTAAAGGGTGTTGCTAGGCAACTCTTACTCAAACTTCAAAGACGTTGCTAACAGAATGCGAACTACACCATAAACTAACGTTATAAAATAACTTAATACGAATGTAATCCTTTCATATAATGCAGACCTGTGAAGTTGCGAACTAACTTGCCTTAGCTTAAGCTTTAGATAGCTAGCCATAAAAATTAAAATATAATCATGGCTTAGTCGTAATTCCAAGAACGGAAATCAAATTAAAATAGGTCTAATAAAACCTAAATAAAACTGATATTAATTTCTTATGCGACAAAAACGAAAAACATCTGTAACAATTAAAAGTTGTTAATTTCTGTAGTGCACACTGAAGTATAAAACACACGTTAGAGATAAACGGCCTTAATACACCATATTTTGTTTGTTTTTTACTTAACTGGATATTCAAAGTTTCGTTTTCCAAAATTACAGCTTCTTCAGAAGCGTTCCACTTAAAATTAGAACACAAACCGTAAACAATTCCGAAAAACAAAGATATAACTAAATCTGGTGATTTAAGGTCGTTCATTTTTAGTTATCTTATAGCAGTGGAATTAACATTATTATTCATGTTTAACCGGGCTTAATTCTAAAACTACTATATCATTTAGTAAAATTACATATCTTAGTCTCACTCTCACTAACAATACCATCAACGTACGTTTTGTCGTTTAGTTAATAATAATATGCAAAAGTAAATTCAGTAACACTGTGTGATAGTTATGTAATAACACCAGCTTAATTTTACTCTAAATACTAAGTTACAAATAATGAAATATTATCAATTTAACATCGTAGTGTTATAAATACAACATAATTATTAAACCTTGGAACCAATTTGATTTCCACACTGTCCAGCTTGAAGGTGTACTATCTCTCGCATTTTAACGGCGATAAGGTCGCAATTGCTCCAACCCCAAAGCCCTTTTTCGCCAGAAACAAATTGCAACTTGGAATTTTGATGACGGTAGACTAAGTTTATAAAAAATCAATATATTGATTACATTTAGGTTTATACGTATTACTCCGATTGTGGTGCAGAATAAACACGCCACTCCGTTAAAGATATTTGTAAACAAGGGTTTTTAACTAAATCATAGTAACATATATATATATTTATTTATACATATGTATGTGTACATATATATCTAGTTGAATGAAAAACTGCTATATTAGAAATGCAGCCGAAAACCTAGATCTAAATTTTACACTATATCGCAAAGCGCATTAATACAAATATATAACTATTTAGATCACGCAACACGGCAAACGTGCAAAAAAGCATGTAATATGGTAGCAGACTGGCGCATAGTTGATCATGTGACTAACGGAAGAATCAGGAAAACAAGAGATATCGTCAAGTAGTCCAATCAAAGTATTTGCTTATACAGTCACCATGACTACTACGAATAGGAAAGTGATCACGATGGTGTTTATTCGTCCCTCACCCATTGACGTCGAAAACGTTATACTGCAGTTTAGAAGGTATTCAAAATGGCTATACCTTGATATTTGTTTAGAAATGTGGAAAAGTTTCTGGTATCACAACTTTAAGTATAGTAGTTCTTGTGTTCTGTGTAATATAACTTGGTCAAGATCCCTAGATTTGTTTCACATTTAATCCACCACTCACTGCCTCACAAAAAGGTGGGTCCCAGTTTTATAATTACAAAACTGTTTGTATTACCTTTGTGTATCTTTGCACGGAATTAATGAAGCAAAAAAATGAAATATATATAAAAACAACAACAAAAAACATCGGTCATGTTGATACTCAAAGTATTTACTGTGCTATGTGTGTTATGTAAAGACCCATAATTTAAAACAGGTCGTTGGTGTTACGCAACTCAATTTATTTAATATTAACAGAATATCACTCTATGATAAATATTTAAAACAGAGAGGGAGCAAGTGATATATTAATAATCCAATTTAATACAATGGAATCGTGGTTCAATAAAACACATATATCTTAGCCTAAAAGTTTAAAAAGCTGTAACGCATGTACTTCTTTTAAAGGAGGCCAATGTTTTAGGTAGGCCCGGCTCCAGATCCTCGGGTGGGAGAATGGCAATGGAGTTTTTGTTGACTCTTCTTAGCGACTTATAAAATCATACGATATTTGTAAACTGATAACATGATATTTTAAACCGCAAGGGAGAATAAACCTTGGCGGACCAGAGTGAAATTTGGGGTGCACGACCCCGCCGGCCCTTGTTGTAGATAAGTTTAGACGTACAAGGTCAAAAATTTGAGTCCCAAATCATATGGATTTAATTATTTTATTTTATTATTGATTATTTTTTGTTTGAATCCTCGTATTTCCTACTTATTCATGGGACTTGCTGGTTTAGCTGTAAATGTGTTCATATCAATTACTTCGTCTTAGGCTAACTGGATTGTTTCACACAGATAAACCTCCCTGTAAATATATTGTTACGTCTCCGTTTGTTAATTGATTTTCCGTAACTTCGTTCCGACGAAACTTTAGC